GGCCAAAACCGTTATGACATAGAGTCATGTTGAGGCTGAGGGTCGTCTGATGTTGAGGCCGAGGGCCATTGTTGACGTCCTCACGCTGAGGCCGAGGGCCGTTGTTGATGTTGAGGTCGAGGGCCGTTCTGATGCTGAGGTCGAGGGACGTTGTTGATGTTGAGGCCGAGGGCCGTCTGATGTTGAGGCCGAGGGCCGTTGTGATGTGGGATCACGCTGAGGCCGAGGGCCGTTGGTGACGTGGAATCATGCCAAGGCCGAGGGCCATTGGTGACGTGGAATCGAATTGAGGCCGAGGGCCTTTCCTTGATAGTTCCAGGAGTCCTCTGGGTGTATGTTCCTTCTTTCAGGCATCGACCGAGGGGTTGATTCCCCGCCTCGGCCGAAAGGAGGTCCAAGTGATCCGTCCGGGGGTTCGTCTGTTAGTCCCCCGGCGCTGGGCCGTCCCTTGATTGTGCCAGGAGGTCGTATGTTAGTCCTCCTGATGTGTGTTCCTTCTTCTAGGCTTCGGCCGAGGGGGTTGCTTCCCCGCCTCGGCCGGAAGGGGGTCCAAGTGATCCGTCCGGGGGTTCGTCTGTTAGTCCCCCGGCGCTGAACCGTCCCTTGACCTTGGGGGGTCCCGTCGTCTATTTACGGCGCGGGCTAGGCTTGGTCGGTTTCCGACGACTGCCGTTTCACCCCCAAGTTTGGGGATTTCGTCACCTCAGCCATTCTTTCAGGCCTGTCGCCGTGCGTTGCGCGCCGGCGATGCAGCGAGCGTCCCGCTCCAAAAACGCGGGCCTTTTGCAGGCCCCTCGTCTTTAGAAACCATCGGCCATACCTGGGCATTTGGCCTCGAAGGGGCCGATAAGATGTCTGGATTGTGTTGTAGTTTACTTAAATTCATAGAAATAAGCGGAATACAAGGGGTGCGTTGTTTGACAACGGCTTAGTTAAGATTCACCGCTCAAGGCCGAGGGCTCTAGGCCGAGGGGATGGTAATGCGCCTCGAGGTCGAGGGCCCAAGGCTGAGACTAACGCCGAAGGTGAGGAACATGATTAGCGGAGGTGGCGCTTCTTCGGCTGGGGCTCCTCGAACTCCTCTCCGTCACTGAGCCTCCCGATTTCATGTTTCTTTGTTGGGATGTCCCCTTCTTCTTTATCGGTGTTCTCCCCGGTGTTTTTCCTTGGGGCATTTTTGATGAATTGGTGGAGCTCACCCCGTTGAATTAAGAGTTCAATAGCCTTCTTTAACGAGACACAATCGTCTGTATTGTGGGAGGTGCTTTTGTGGTAACGGCAATAAGTGCCGCCTTGGTGGATGGCGTAGATCTCCCTCGCCGACCGAGGGTCCTTGGGGAAAAGGTCCTGCTCTTCCGCATAGTTGAGGATAGTGCTCACCGGGTGCGTGAGGGGAGTCCTCGGCGTGTCCAGCCGAGGGCGCCATTGGAGTTCGTTACGGCCCTGCTGGGTGTGGCTTCCATGGTCTCGGCCTCCGGTCGAGGGCACATTTGCGGCCAGCGTGTTGTTTATCTTCTTCGAGGGTTGGCCCTCGTTCTTCTTGAAGGAGTGGAGGTCGTCGGCGTCGGCGTATAGGCTCCCCCGCTGGAGTGCTCTGGGGTATGATCTTGGGGGGTCGGTGATGAGGCTCCGTGCGTAGGGGCTGCTGCGGAGAACCCCCTGGAAGAGGACGAGGAGGGTACGCTCGTCGGCGCCCTCGACCTCGTCTGTCTCCTTCATCCACCGGTCAATGAAGGACCGAAGTGTTTCGTCAGGTTGTTGCTTGACGGAGAGGAGCTGGGAGAAGTGCTTTCTCGCGCGCTTCCTTCCGGCAAAATGGGTGAGGAAGCGTTGGGCAAGATCTTGCCAAGAGTCAATGCTGCCCTCGGGCAATCGATTGAACCATTCGTATGCTGGTCCCTCCAAGGTAGAAAGGAACCAACGACATAAGTATTCATCTGATGCCCCCATCATCATCATGCTGTTTTGATACCTGTTGTAGTGCTCGTGGGGGTCAGTTTTTCCTTCATAGGGCTTGATGAGTTGCCCTCGGTACTTTTCCGGGATTTGGGCCGCCAATACCCTTGGGGTGAATGGCGTCCGGGTCCGGAGCTAGATGATGGGTTCCCCGGAGCCCTCGGCTACCTTCTTCTGTAATTCCTCCATTTTGGCCATCATGGCCTCGTATTTGAGGTCTGAATGAGGGGTGGAGGTGGTGGCGTGAGCTTTGTCGGCCTCCATTTCATCAAGTCGGCGTTGGAGGGCCGCAATAATTTCGTCGCGGGGGTCCTTCGGGAGGGTCTCCGCCCCCTGCGAATGAACCCGGGCCGAGTGGGCCTGGTTGATCTGGTGGCGAGCATCGTCGGCATGAAGGGGTGCCTTGCCTTTGTCCCGAGGGGGACGCTCCTCGTCTGCCCTCGAGACAGACCCTCCGCTTTCTTGGGGCCCTCGGCGGTCTTGCCCCCCTCCGAGCCGGTTGAGGGCGGAAGTGCGGGGCCTTTCTCTGTTGTCATTGTGGCGGTCCCGGGACTAAACTTCCTGGGAGGCCGTGTCTTGGGCCACTACCCCTTCGTCATTCCTAACCCGAGGGATGGGGTTTCCGAAGGGGTGTGGCAGAGGGGGAAGTACGATGTTCTCCCCAACCTGGGGTTGAGCCGGAGCCAGGGTGCCGAAGGCACCCGGGTTCTGAGTTAACGTCTGGATGAAGGCGGAGAGTGCCGAATGAACGTCGATGGTGAGGACCGGAGGGCTGACTTGGTCATCGCTCCGGTTTTTCTTCTTGGCCTCGATGCCGAGGCGGGCATCGGGGGCATTCTGCTGGATCTGAAGGCGTAGGTCGACAGCCGCCTGTTCCAGCCCAGCGATGACACCGCCCTCGGGAGCCTTGTGAGAGGCCTCGGGGGCATTGACGTCGCCGAGGGCCAGGTTCTTGTCTTCTACGTTTTTGGAGTTGGCACGTGTTGTTCTCACCATTTTGGTAGAGGGCTAGTGTTTGGCGAAGGGGGAGGGTTTCTTACTTGATCGTTCGACCTCTCAACGAGAGCACCAAATGATGGATAGTCTACCCGGGGGTATATATCCGAAGGGTTATTACGGGGAATAACTTAGAGAGAAGTCAGAGCAAGTAAGTAAAAGTAGAGAGAGAGTGTATTCAGTATGAATGCCGTTTTCAGCGTGGTTACAAATGAGGAAATGGGGTGCTATTTATAGTAGCAATAAATGCCGGACAGGGACACGTGTCAAGCGCTCATTGGCCGAGGGGTCACCTCAACTGGTTGGCGTTGGCAGCCGCATGTGGCCGCATTTAATGCGGCTGTTGGATGGGACGTCTGTGCAGGGTACGGTGATCTGCACGCATGTGAGGCGGATATCTTGTCGAGTGAGATGCCTTCGGCTATAGAGCAATGGCCGAGGGCTCCTCCAACCGATGGCACTCTGGTGCCGAGGGCTACTGTTTTCGCCGTTTTCTCCCAGTTTCTTAATTTGCTTGCGAAGCCCGTCCTGTGAGAGTTTAGAGCCTTCGGCCAGGGGGCCGAAGGCACCCCTAGCGCGTAGTGCGTGCTGCTTGGTACTCTGGGCGCTGTGATCTGGGCCTGTTGGGCCTTCGCTGGAGTAGTAGGAGTCTGTGGGCCGGGGGTTCCCGGGCCATATACTCCATCAGACTTCTACAATATTCACACACTTCATTGGACTATTTATCATCATCCAAAATATGTAATTTTATAGTGAAAAGAATGTGATGCAAAAAATTAATGTTTTCATATGTAAACACTTTTTTGAATGAATCTAAAATATAGTAATGTTTTGAAATTATATTTTATACTAACAATATTAAATTGTGATATAATACAATAAAAGGTATAATTGGACACAAGTACATTTTTAACTTTTTTAATTTTTTAATTTTGAATTTATAATTTATTTTTGGTGTTTTTTGAAATTTATTTTATCAATTTAGAGTAAATAAGAGTAAATTTGCTCCTTTATAAGAAAATAAGGGGTGTTTTCCTTTTAAGATTTCAAGAGTGTATATGCAATTTCACACATACTTCAGGGTATATTTGTTCCGAAAAATGGAATAGGAGTATATTTTTTCCACACGCATAATATAGAGGTATATTTGTACATTTTCCCTTAAATGCATAAGTTGATTTGTAGTATATATATTCTACCTCCGTCTTGGTAGACTAATTTTAATTTGCCAAGTCCAAAGTAGGTGAGAAGTAAGAATAGTAAAAACTGTGTGATTGAGATTTGTGCAGAGGAGAGAGAAATGTGCAGAACCACAAATTAGTTGATGTAGTAGGAAAGTGACAAAGTTTTTCAGGACAATCAAAACGAGAAAGTTGGCAAAGTTCAATGGGATGAAGAGAGTATTATATGTCTATTATGATACTTGATTGCATGTTTCTAATACTCAATTGTGTTAAAAATAAAATACTCCCTCTCTCTCATAAAGTTGTTCTCACTTTCCTTTTTGGGTTGTCCCAAAAAATTCTTCCGACTTACCATTTTTGGACAATTTGTATGGTTCGCATTCATTTCATCTTTTCTTACACAACTACAACCATACATTTCTACTTTATTCCACTTTCTTAATCTCCGTGTCAAGTCAAAGTGAGATGAATTTTATGGATTAACTTAATACTAATATATACTCGTAACATAAAGTATTCAAAATACTCTAAGGTGACCAGCGTGGAATTGGGTACGCTGTACGTTCTCTATAACAGAACTTGGTTGACACTTGACACCTATCTATATTTTTAAGACAATTTCTATGGTACATTGATGGTATGAATCAATTAAAAATTATCAATTGAATAATTTAAATGCAAATAAAATATAAAACTTTGAATTGAACCAATGAAATGGATTCTAGTTATGTTACTCTCCTATTTTTGTTGGATACCATAGCACCAAGCACCTATTTTTAAAACGAAATCTTTGCCAAACAAAAAACAAAACAAAAAAAAATCAGCCATCAGCAGTATATATAGCCTGACAGCGACTCGCAAGAACTCCAACAGATCATAACCCAGCAGCTACGCTATTAAGTTAAATCAATTCCTGCCCTCCAGCATGGGAAGCAATGCACCGTCACCGGTAACGGAGGAAAACCATCTCAACGACGGCGGCATGTCAATGGGTGCTGTTGCGGCGAATCCATCACCGCCGCCGCTGCCGTACGAGGAACATGTCTGCGAGACTTGCGGGGCCGTGTTCGCGACGGAGAGGGCGATGTTCGGGCACCTGCGGTGCCACAAGGATCGCGGGTGGCGTGGGGCCTACTGCCCGCCGACTTTCAGCATGGATGAGTTCGCCGAGTACAAGCACCTTCTCGTGAAGTCCGAGGAGGAGCAGATGCGTGAAATCGAGGCCGAAAAAGCCCTTGCCGCTAGTCTGGTTCTTGACCCTCAGTCGCCGGAAAGTGATGAGGTGACGCCGCCGCCGCTGAAGAAGCAAGCCATCTTGGACTGGGACTGGGATTTGAATGTGCCACCGCCGTTTGAAGAAAGTGACACCGATGATGAAGAGGGGGATCCCGGCTCCGACGTTGACCTGTATTAACCCCGATCAAGTCTTGTTACCGAGATCTGGTCTGGCTGTATAATAATAATAAATTAATTATTATTATTACGGAGTATAATAATAAGTCTTTTGTACTCTTAAGTGCATGTATTATTACCGCTAATCTATAATAATAATAATAATCTGCTTTATTTGTTAACAAGATCAAAAAATGTGCATGGTTTGATCAAAGTAATTAAGGGTTTGACCAAATCAAAGACGACTAAATTTGTGTCAAAGATGATTCGCCATGAGCTATTTGTAATGTACGTAGTAGCTTTGCGAAAAATAGATTCTATCTGCAGTGGCAAGCTCGATTAATCTGTGCATATTTCGTGCTAATTCCGTGCCGATTTATAATGTTACTTTTTGTAGTGCGTGGTATTCTATAGGAAAAGTTTGGGTTCAAATTTCAATAAGTTCCTTGGAAAATCTTAGTGAACCGGAAATAATGTAGGTAGACTCTATGGAGGGCCGGTCCTGTCCATTTGTGGGCCTATGGACGGTACACTATTTTGGGCTTATATCCGTGACAAACAGTAAATCATATTTGAGCAATGGAGTTCATAAAATAAAAACAAGAATCACTTTATTTCTATAGGACTAAAATTACTTCTAAATCCAATCATAGGAGTATTATATAAAGTTACATATTTAGGCAAAAGTAACAACACGAATATTGAATAAAAAGAAAAAAAACATTACTTAAAAATGTTTCTCGTAAACCAATGTGAAACAAATCATTAATAATTGTTTCATAGACAACCTTCTTTCCACTAATAAATACGAAGTATGACAAACAATGAAATTGCCACATATAACAACAATAAATTTTCTTTTGAAAGGATAAATGAAAAGAAATATTAGCACTAATAAAGTTGAGAATGATTTATTGACTGCCGATGAGAGTAAAGTTTGAAGTCTCAAAATAATGAGAGTTTTCAAAGAGACAAAATATTTGGATGCTAAGAGAACTTGCGCAAGAAGATTGCAATTTGACGTTCTCTATAACTATTATTAGGAACTCAGATATAGCTTATTGAAATTTGAAAACAAATGAATAATTGGGGTGAAATTTGAGAGAAACAAACTCTAAAGTATTTATATAAATTTGTTATGTTATAACTAAATTGAATAAAAAACCGTAAAAGCTAAAAACATGTGAGGACTAAAGAGACATGTCTGTTATTTATGCAGCAACAATTGTATTGCTTTTAAAATTACAACCGATCCTGCTAAAAATTAATGTATATATTTTGTTTTAAACTTGTCTCTCTTTAAGACTCTTTATTTATTTTTTAAAATTTTAAATTGTCAACAAATTAGAGCTAATTAATTGAACTTAAGAATAAAAAAAGAAGTCTACTCACACTATATATAAAGAACAAATTTTGGTCCTATTTTTTCTTCTATTTTTTCGGGTCTAGGGCGATCGCCCCTCTTGCCCCCCCCCTCAGAACCGGCCCTGACTCTATGGTATCCATAATGTACCGTACCTTTGTCCACATTGACCAATGAGAATGTTGCAGTTGAATTATTTAAATCTAAATTAAAAATGATATAATGATGTAAACTAATGAAATGAATGATAGGTACGATACCCCTTTTTTTAAATGGATACCGGAATTGTCACCAATAATGTATTAGTTGGAAATGGATACGTGATCTGCCTGCATGAAAGAACTATAACTCAATATTCAGAACAGAAGTTGCCTTTAAGGCTATAATAAATACTCCGTATAGTATATGGGATCCATTGATCACTTTATTTTATGAAAGAATGACCTAAATATTACTAGTGGAGTTTGAGAAGACAAAAATATGACCACTTCTTGTTTGGACAAAAAAGTGACTTAAATAAAATCACCTCCTCCCTCCCCAACCCGTCATTCACCCCAAACTGCACCTTCTCTCTTCTTCCTTCAGATCAAGAGCTCCATGCGACCATGCCCTGCCTCAACTCACCCACCTCACCGCTAAGCCGTCGCGTCGCGCCTCGCCGCCACGTCTCGTCGTGTCTCACCGCCTCGCCGCGTCGTCTCGTCGTGTCTCGCCGCCTCGCCGCGTCTCGCCGCCGTACTTCTGCTCAGATGTCATCTTCTTCTCCTTTCTTCTGTCCGAAATCCACAGATTTGAAGGCTGTGCAAATCCGAATTTTTTCTGTCCAGAATCCGCAGACCTGATGGTGTCCTTGTAGATGTGTTAGGTTACTGGTTGTAGGAGTTTGAGGCAGAATGTAACGGTTGGTGGGAGTAGGGCAAGGCTGGTGGGGTTGGGGGAGGGCTGTGCGATTGGTGGAGGCTAATCGGTGATTGTGCAAGGGTTGGGGGCTGCTGTGAGGGGTCGAAGCTACTGTGGGGCCGTGGGGGTGGGGGATGTTGGTTGGGGCTGGGGTGACGCAAGGGAGGGGTTTGGGGTTTGGTGGCCGGAGCTGGTAGTCGCTGGCGGTGGCCGGAGGTGGTGGTGGACGGGTTGAAGAGGGGGCTGGGGGCAGAACAGGTGGGCTAAGGAGGTGGTGTGTTGCTGTATTTGTGGAGTGGTGATGGGGCAGGGTGCAGTGGTGGACTGTTTGGGCGGGTGGCGGAAACTGTCATGGTGGCCTGCAGCGACAGAGGTGGTCGCCTGGTCGGTGGCACTTTGGATGTGTCACTGTGGTCGGTAGTAATAGTAGTGACACGGGCGGCGGTAGTAATAGTAGTGACACGGGTGGCAGTAGTAATAGTAGTGACACGGGCGGTAGTATTGATACTTTAGCCGGAATAGGTTGCCGTAAAATTTTCCGGCGGTTATAGTGAGCTAGTGACATTCAAAAGTGACATAAAAATCTGACAGTGACATATAATAGTGACATAATAAATATCTGGTAGTGACATAAAAAATCAGTGACAAAATGTTTTCCCATAAATGTGACCTTCTTAGTGACATTTTTGTCCTTTTATAAAAATGGTCACTTTTGTGGAAAATTGCTTCAATTAAGTAATATTCAAGGAAAAAGCCCTTATTTTATCTTGTGGATTAAAGCAGTTTTAGTCTTCACATAATTCTTAATCTAGTCTGATTTCATTTACATTTTTCACCATATACTCTATATGTTAACAATTAAGATTTTTCATTTAATTTGTCCTCACCAATATATACTCTATCATTGTCAAGGCTAGACTCCTAAGCTAGTTTATACTCCTCTCCACCCAAAAAAATTACTCCCAATTCATGTTTTCACTATTGTATGTGATTCATAACATGAATATGCCGGTATATTAATTAGCTGTTCGAATTTATTGTTTTAGGGTTTTGAATTTTAGTGATTGTTCTAAACGGTACCAAAAGTTAACCAAAGTGTATTAACAGGATCATATGTCCAGAATTCCTTAAATATAACGTCTTTGATCATATTAAAAATATAAATCTTCTTTAATTTAAAGTGAATAAGAGTTATATCTATTCAAAAAAAAGAGTTATATGAGAAATAAAACAAGGGTTAATTATCAAAATAGGACTAAAAGTTACTCACTTTGCACAAATAGGACCAAAAAATAAACTATGATTTCATAGGACTAATTATGTGTGTCTTGGACAAATATACCCTTATAGCTATTGAAATGTTTTAATTCATAATAAAATAATAAAAAATCAAAAAAAATCAAAAAAAAAACTAAAAAATAAAAAAATACTTCGATAATAATAATTTATTTATTTATTTATTTTCAAAAAATAAAATAAATAAAAAAAAAACTAAAAAAATAAAAAACTCAAAAAAATAAAATAAAATTCACCGCCGCCTATGTCGCCTCTGCACCACCACCAGGGGAAGAAAATGCCAAGTTCATTACGAATGTCATATTTATGGCAGAAAACAATGAAAATGTTGGCATTCTCAAAGAGAAATATGCCATGTTTTTGGCATTTTCAGAAAAAATGGAAGTTTTTAGGGAAAATGGCATTTTTTCACCGCCCGGAGATGGTGGTTCAGGGAGGTAGTACAGGCGGTGGGAAAGGAATCCATATTTTTTTTTTAATTTTTTATGGAGTTTTACTATTTTTTATTAATTTTTTAAAAAACTAAAAAAAATTAAAAAAAAAAATTAATTTTTTATTTTATAAATTTTTTAATTATTTGTCTACGAATTGTTTATTTTTTTCGAATTTATTATGAATTAAACATTTAATTAACTCATATTTAAAGGAAGGGTAAGAATGGAAGGAAAAAATAGGTATGTTTTCAATATGACTAATTTGGTCTTATTTTGAAAAGAAAAACATAGTAAATCCTATTTTGAGTTTTTGGCATAGTTTTAGTCATATTTTAAGTAATTTCTAATAAAACAGTGTGATCTCATTTATACTGTCTCTATGTTTTAATCCTATTTTTTTTGTGAAATATATTCAAAAAAAATTGTGTGAAATCAGGGAGCCACATTGACTTTAATCGTTTCATGACAAAATGGTCTTCGCCCGTTGACTTCTTTGGCGGCGTGGCGCTTCCATGCCTTTGCGTCTTAAGCCAATTTGTGAACACCGCGAGAATATAATGGTTTTTGCATCTTTGTGCCATGGACTTCATTTTTATCCTCTATGAATAACCATATATAGTGGTCCAAAACTCCAAAATGCATGCTTTGTAGCTTTTCTCTATGAGTTAAGGGCAAAAACATTTAAATGAATTTTATGAAAAATAATTAGCATCTTATACGGAGTATTTCCTCCATCTATCTCACGTAAAAGTTTTCATACGATTTACGATATTTGATTGATCATAAAATTAACTAGTTCTTGTCATTAATAAAATTGTTTGTAATAAATAAAATTTATATTATCATAAATTACATTAAAAAATTTATAAATTCGAAAAGAATTGATAAAAATGGATATGTTAAGTAAAAAAAATAAGAGTAATTATGTTGATCGGAGAATAGTAGATGTAAACTTTTATATGGAACAGGGGTATTCTAGGATAAATATTGAGTATGAAATATTTGAAATGAGGTGAACACATGAATTATTATTTAGGGTAAACTCACACCATAATGATAGTTATTGATTTATGCAACCGGGTATCGCGAGTGCCGCCTGTAGAAAACATATTTTTTGTTTTGTTTATGTACGAATTATTTTGAATCATGAATTTGGTTTAGCGCCATTCTGATATTTAAAAGAGCAGCAATACTTATGAAGAAGATCAGGGCATAACCATCAAAATA